TTGGTCCAGTCTGTTATTTTCCCTGAGCAGAAAGACAACAAACCTGCAGATATTGCTATAATAAACTCCCAGAAACCCCAGTGGTGTGACTGAAAACAAGGGCCAGTTCAGGCAGGATTTTGGAGGGCTACAGGTTCCCTGTCTCTACTTTAAATGTAGGATTTATTAATTTTATTTCTTATGCAATTTATCTACTACCTCAATCCCCATGGACTTTAGGCAGTTTGCAGATATTAAAATAGCAGCAACTGTACAGTGCATTACAGTATTAAATCTTCTGTAATAAGAATCTAACATAGGATAACAAATCATCCTCTCTATCTATTTCTCTCCCTCTCTGAAATAGACATTGGTGGCTCTCCTGACAGTCCTGAAAAGCATTCCAGAAAAGCCAGATTTTTGCTAGCCTTTGAAAAGCTATGAAGATGAGGGCCATTCTTCCCTTGGGGTACAGGCTCTTCTACAAGAGGGGAGCTTCAACTAAGAATGCCTGCAAAGGACCGCACTCCTGCTGAATGTCCTGGTTGGGGGGGGGGGGAACCCCTTGTAGTGCTTACTGATATCTGGGTAAGATGGGAGAATCAATATAAAAAAGGCAGATATGCAGGTACTGAGATGCATGGGGCTTTAAATGTAGTGACCAGGCTTTGAATTCTCCTCAAATATCCTGGCAGGTCTGCATGAGCAATAGATCATAGCAGTACTGCGAATAGCCAGAAAGGAAGTAGCTTGCTGCTTCTGGACTAGTTGAAGTTTCTGGTGGGTCTTCAAGGACAGCCCATGTAGAGTAAAATTCAGTAACTTAATTGGGAAAGTAAAAGGGCATCAGTGGCAGTCCTCAAAACATGGGGATTTGTGGAAAAAACATCTTTGCAAGGTTCATTAAAAGGAGTAAAGGAACTTGTTTGAAATAGGGGGGAAAAAGAATTCCTTTGCATCTTCCCCTTTCTTTTTTTTCCTTTTCTTGTTTTTTTATATTTTATTTTTTTTCAGAAATTTAATAAAGCATATTTTAAAGAAGAGGAACTTGTTGGGAATAGGCTTAAGTACAGATAGTCCTCGACTTGCAGCCATTCATGTAATGACTGTCCAAACCTACAACAGCATTGAAAAAAGTGACAACAGTTTTTCACACTCACAACCATTGCAGCATCCCCAGAGTCACGTGATCAAAATTCAGAGGCTTGGCAACTGACTCATTTTTATGACAATTGCAGTGTCCTGGGGTCATGTGATCACCTTTTGCGACCTTCTGACCAACAAAGTCAGTGGGGAAGCCAGACTCACTTAACAACCATGTGACAAATTTAAGACTGCAGTGATTCACTTAACAACTGTGGCAAGAAATATCATAAAGAGGACAAAACTCACTTAACAAATGTCTCACTTAGCAGTAAAAATTTTGGGCTCCATTGTGATTGTAAGTTGAGGACTACCTACAGTAATGCTTATGGTTTATCTTATACGGACTGAATATTCTCATATCTTTAGGAAATATCCCAAAGATGCTTTTTCACGAGGCAACTGGACTTTCTTGTTTTTCTTTGAAAACATTTAGCTTCTCATCTTTGGGATAACTATGAGCTGGATGACTGAGAATCTCAATAGTCATTTCTCTAGGAAATACTTATATAGTAGTGAAGTTCTCAACCACATTTGTTTCTAACCATTAGCACATATGATGAGTAATCTTTTTATTTTTCTTTGAATATGTTGTTATATTTGAAGCCCTTGGGTTTAGAGGACTGAATTTCTTCTTAAATAATATAGACTAGCAACATTTCTGAAGAAGACAAGGTGGAGAATCCAAAGATGAATCAAACCACATTGTCTGAAAGTAGAAAGCAAAGACTGAAAGCAGTTTCAGATCTGTGCTTCCATCAGATCTTACTATGAACTCGGTTGAAAATCAGAGGCATTTTGTTAAAGTATTTCAGTACTATTTCATCTATTTTTTTGGCACCAGAGATCCCAGACTTAAATAAAGAAAACAATAACAAAAACTGCTGTGTTGTTTTGTACAGTGTCTTACCTGATTTGCCTGAAGCATTATCTCAGGAAATAATATTTGAAACATCCACACCCAGAATATTAGATCCCCAGTACAAACAAGTTCTCATTAAATTGTCACAAAATACCTTTTATCCAGGGACCAAACTCTGATACATCTAACAAGTATATTCTCTATCATACATTAGCCTTTCTCAATTTGGCATGTCTATGATATGTTGAACTTCACTTCTTATCATTGCTAGCGAGCCTTACCACTGTCACTTGAGAATGATAGGAGGTGCAGTCTTAGAAGCAGCAGATTTGAGCAGGTTTGCTAGTTGAGGACAGGTAGTGTTCAACTTATAACTACAATTAGGACTGGTATTTTGGTTGTTCAGTTGGTGTGATCATAAGTTGAATCACCATGTGACCAGACACAAATTTATGATCGTTTTTATGGTAGTTATTAAGCAAATCTCCACAATTGTTAAGCAAACCATGCAGTTGTTAGGTGAATCCTGCTTCCCCATTGTGTCAACCATCCCACTCAATCATCAAGCAAAGAAAGACTCCTGGCCATTTGTTTTGCCATGAGTGTACTTTACTGAAGCTTAAATGGTTATAGAAGTAGTATAAGTTGAATCTGAGGTTTTCCCATGCAAATAACCCAAAGAAAAGTTCCCTGTTCCCCCCAGCTATCCCTGGTTATCTGCAAATGTCCAATCAGGTGCCTGTATATTGTTCAGGAAACAGGTTCTCGGTTCCCAGCTCTGCATTTTGTCACTTGACCTTGGTTGACTGGAGCTTGTCACATGGCTCAGCTGGGCTTCCATCCTCCCCTTTCCTTACATTCCAATCTGCCCCCCTCCCATGCTAATGTCAGGTTGTCAGCTCATGAAGCTTGGATAGGTGATATGCAGCCATGACATTGGATGCATTTGCCTCAACCAGCAAAGAAATGTGATCACATGACTGCATAATCCTGCAAGTGCCTGAATGGTGATTGTTGTGTCCTGAGCCTGCAAAGGCAGGCTCAGGACATTGCAACAGTCCCGGGCAGTTGCAAGCTGCCTGGGACCAGACTGGCTGGCGCCTGCTTCGCGCGCATGCACGAGGAGCAGAGCGCGCCAAATGTTGCCATTTGGCCCAGGGAATGCCTCAGAGCTGAAACGGAGCTGAAGGAACAACAATAAAAGCTTCTTAACTCTATGAGATGCTCTGTGATTTATTGCCATTAAGCTGAGGACTCAACAGTGATCATGTGACTATAGGGGTGGCATGACAATCATAAGTGCAAATACAGGGTGTAAAGCACTATTGCTGGGGCCATTGTAACTTTAAACAGTTATTAAATGAATGACTAGTCAAAGACTAGTATTCCTATGTGTCATTTTCATTATTTCCCCTCCTCTCTGAAAGAAAAAAAGTTCATTAGATAACTAAAAGACAGAGCTCTTCTTTTTCACTATGATTATATTCAGAAGGAAAACTTGGGACTCCCTCCCAGGGATTTGAACTATAGTTCCTATTATCCCTCAATGCTAACTATTTTGATTGCACCTATTTGGAACAACATATTTGTCATTGGAGATTATATCCAGGGTGCCAGATATAATCATCCTTTTGAGTCTAAAACATGACATCGGTCTTTGAACAGCACACCAAGGGCAACTCTAAGAAGTAGCAGGTTAGGTTGGATACAAGATGGATTTGATTCCATTTCTTTTTCTAAGTGGACCTGATTTGGATTGGGCTTTTCATTTTTGTTTCTTTTGAATGATGTCATGCCTGTTTTAAAACTTACAATACACTTTCCATGTCCACAAATTGGTTGGAAACTGTGTTGTTAATTTGGGGTAAGCCTGCTGTGAAAAGAGGACTTTTAGTCATGGGTTGTCCATTCCTGGGTAGATAGTCACCATTAATCTGATGTTAAGATTGTTCAGTCATCACTTAGTTTTAATTAATAATAGTATGCCAGATTATTAACCTTGTTTATGTATCTACAGACAACAAATGGCATTTGTTATTATCCTGCTGTATGGAGGCAAATTAAGATTCCTGAAGGCAGAACACAGTATAACAGCTGAAAAGCATTTGCTTTCCTGACAATATTTTTCTCCCTTTTTCAAAGAAAAAGTGCCCCCTCCCCCAAACAAGAAAAAGCAGGAAAAGACCACTCCGTGTAACAGATAATGGCAACCATTTATTTATAATCTAATTATAATCTAATTGTCCTACCTCAGGAAAACTCATGAGTCAAAGCCAAACAGAGAAAATAATAAATGATTATGTCACTGAATCCAACTGATTTGTAACAAAAGAATCCCAGAGCAAGTTATTCTCCACTGCCTTTTTCCTCTCACATGATGTACAGTTTGTATCTGTCAGCAGAAAAGCATGTACTGTATAGCTTCAATGATGCTCAGAGAAGGAAGAAGCTTGTTTAACCTGCTTTAAATATTGTCCTTGTGCAAATCAGAATCATTGTCAATAATCATTGTTGGGTTTGTGGGGTATAAATTTTGTCCAGTATGTTTTAAAGCACTGTCTAGGTCTCCAGACAGTGACCTTAGTGAGAGTTTTTGCTTCAACTTTGACACTAATTTAGCTTTGCAAGTTAGGCACTATAGAAAATAAAGGCTAAAGATTTATAGGGATAAAATCCACAACTTAAGAATAGATCACAGAAGTACGAATCAGGTGAAACATGATCAAAAGGAGAAAAAGAAGCAGGGAAGGTGGAGAAGCAGAAAAGTTCAAAAAAAGGACAGAAGTCCATATGACTGAATCTTTTCTTACTTTGAAAAATGGTTCAATTATGCAAACAGAACTCACAAGTGAATATGGAATGTGTATAAGAGAAAAAGTTATAGAAGATTCTAGTAAAACCTACTGAGATGCTTTTCTGTACACTGATCAATGATATTCAGCTCTGGCATTTGACATTATATCCAAGTTAATTTAAAGACAACAAAGATGGTTACTGTATTTTTTTGCTTACTTACTTCTTGCTTCTGTCAGTTCATTTGCTTGCATCTGGATGCACTCTGTGTGGAATTGGACCTTATAAAGCACAGAGAATTTATTAACTGCAGCAAGGTTATTAGTAGGTTTATATTGGAAGAAAGATTCATTGCCTACCTTAGAAGAATGGATACTTAAGGTTTCTAATTTAGCAGAAATGGCTAAAATTTCTGCTTATTTAAAGGATCATACACAAGAAAGATATATTGTGTTATGGAGAAGATGGATAGATTATATTCAGTATAAATATGGAACTCAAAAGTTCCATTTATTTTATGATTAAAATTTTATAATAAATGTTTTATAAGAGATTTGTTTATATTATTATGATGTTAAAGTTTAAGGGGAGTTAAGGGTTAAGTATGAATTTGTTTATTATATAATATTTTTAAAGTTATGTTGATTTTGTTTATTTTGTTATTAATAACCCTGTATTCTGCTCTGGGAAGTGAGCGGGGAGTGGGGGTGGGTGGGGGTGGGGGGGTAAGTAGGTTAGATAATAGAATTAAAGTAAGATATAGATAGGGTAATTTATAAGAGAGGTGTTGCTTGGGCATTTCCCCGGTACTGTATCCGAAGAGGGATGAGAGTGGAGGAGGAAGGGTAGGGAGGAAGTAGGATGGTAAGAGGAGAGGTGGAGGGGAGAGAGAGGTGAGGGGAGGTGAGAAAGAGGAGGGAAGTAAGGGAGAGTGTTAGAGAGGGTGGATTCAGTTTGGGGGGAGGTGGGCAAGCAACACCTATGATTATGTGTATGAATTTATTTTATTTTGTTAAATGTGAATTTTTATATTTATGTAATTGATAAATGGAAAATAAAAAAAGCACACAGAAAACAGAGTCTGCTTGACTTCTGATGGGACTGATTTACATAGATATTGATTACTGTATAATGAAAAATTGATGTGATTGGGGTTTTGAAATTGGAAAGTTGGAGCAATTCCATTGTAGGTCCTTTACAAAGTAGGCACTGGGATGACTTTTTCTTTTTTCTTTAGGAGAACATTAATTCAGTTTCAAAAGTACTAAAAGTTATTACTATTCCTATGTAGCTACCATTTCTTCCTCTTAAAAAGGAATTTACTTCAAGGAAATGCAAATAACTTCAGTACCTTAAATACTGAGCTCTTATACAAAATGGCTGTTTAATCTGAAAGGCAGACTTTCTGTGAACACTGTTGACACAAATGGGCGACTCTGTTTATTGTGGATTGCTTATTATGGCTGACAAAAAAGGCAACTTTTTCACTGGGAATGCGTAGCACAAAACTCTATTGGTATTTTGGAACAATAATAAAGCTAGACAATTGTTACATTGCTCCCCATTGTTCTCTTCCAGGCTGCCTTTCTTCTCCACTGCATGTATTTTCCCCAGTTGAGTTTTGTAACGTATGGTTATTCCTCTATGCATACTGTCCAGTAATTCTGAATATAAATAACCATAGCTATAGTCAGTGGTTCTTTCGGTAACCCCCCCCCCCCAACATTTCCCAAGTTATAATAAATATTTGGGTAATTCTCAATAACACAGTGGGAGAACCTTTATAAAACATAGGCATATTTTTACTGTTAGAAAAAATAACAGTAAATCCCAGTGGCTGAGCAAATCTACAAGTCTTAAAGTTGCCAAATTTAGACACCTTGATTAAAAGTGAAATGTATCTGAATACTGAAAGTCATTTGATTTTACATTTAAAGAAAGCATAACATAAAAGGACGAGTTTTCCAAACTCAGAGGAGGCAGATTATTGCTGTTACGACTTTTTCTATTGAATATTTTTTACCACATAACTAATTAGGAAAAACAGTGCTACATAAATCTGACATTAGTAAATATCAGTAGATAGCTGAAGAGGACAGATAATATGCACTGAGCATTTGCACAGCATTTTCCTCTTTATATTGTGCTTTGTTTGTTATAACTCTGTAATCTGCATGAAAACACTATCAATCTTGGCCAGTATATTTAACCGCACATTATGCATTGAGGCTGGATCTGAGAGAAAAGCTTGGCTTAATAATCTACTTCCAAATTTATAGCTGCACTAAGATTTAATCCAGGCTTTTCCAGATCATGTGTCTGCTAAACATTTTTTTTATTTGGGTGAATAACCTCTATTTTTTTATATATAAAGTTTTTATTTTCAATTTTACAATACATTACAATCTTAAAAATACTTCAGATAAAAAAATAAAACAAATTGATACACACCACTTTCGGTATTGCCCACCCATTTCCCCCCAAACCGCATCCACCCCTAACCAACTTGCTTTTTTCCCTCTTCTTCCTCTTCCTCACTCTCCACCTCTCCTCAACCTTCCTACTTACTTCTCACCTTCTTCTACCTTCTCGCTCCGGATGCGGTCCAGGGGAAATGCCCGAGCAATTCCTCTCTCCAAATTGAAACATTAATATTATATACAGTTAAACTATTTCTACTTTATCTGAACTACTTAAACTTTGACCCATCCACCCCCCACCCTCCTCCCCCACCCCACCCCCCGACTTCCCAGAGCAAAGTACAGGATTATACAAACATATTAAACATAATCTATTTAAGTTTACTAATTATACAATGAACAAAATCATATTAACCCTTAACTCTCTTCAAACTTTAACATCATAAATTTATAAACAAATTCATTACTCATAAAATAAATGAAACTTTGTAGTTTCATATTTCTTCTGAACATATTCTATCCATCTTCTCCATACATTAAAATATCTCTCTTGTGAATGGTCCTTTAAATAAGCAGAAATTTTAGCCAATTCTGCTAAATTAGAAACCTTAAATACCCATTCTTCTAAAGAAGGCAGAGTATCCTTCTTCCAATATTGACCCACCAATAATCTTGCTGCTGTTATTAAATTCAACAATAAAATATTTTCTTTAACATTAAAATCCGCAAAAATGCCCAAAAGAAACAGTTGGGGAGTAAATTTAATTTTCCTTTTAAAAACCTTTTGAATGTTCCATCAAATCATAATCCAGAAGGCTTTACTATCTTTACAAGTCCACCAAACATGAAAATAGGTTGCATCCAAGCAACCACATCTCCAACATTTAGGTTGCAGGTTTGGGTACATACAGGACAACTTTTTAGGATCCAGATGCCATCTATAAAACATTTTATGAAAATTTTCCCTCAAATTTTGGGCCTGCGTAAATTTAACATTTCTGGTCCAAATTACCTCCCATAAATCCAATGAAATCGGTTCCTGAATATTCTGGGCCCATTTAATCATACAATCTTTTACTAACTCTGTTTCTGAATCCAATTTTATTAACTCATTGTAAATTCTTTTAATATGGGCATATTTCTGATCCTTGATCTGGATTACCAAATTTTCATCTACTAAAGTAATTCCCACTTTCTTATCCAAAGTCCATCTCTGCACTATTTGCAAATATTGAAACCACGATTGTAAGATGTTTTCTTGCCTCAACACATCTGAAGACTTTAATTGCCAATCAGTACCCGACCAAATAAATAACTCTTTATACAAAATGTTATCAAAATTCACCCCCTTGGAAACCCCCTGAATTGCTTGTCCAGTAATCCCCCAAATAGGTATTTTATAATTTAACTTATAATAATATTTTTTCCAAACTCGAAGTAAAGCATATCTTAAAATATGTGACTTAAAGACCCAATCTACTTTCTTATCAAAAATTAAATATGCGTGCCAACCATGTAATAAATCCCACCTTTCAAGAACAAGAATGTCTCTATTTGTTAAATTAAGCCAGTCACTTACTAAAGTTAAAGTGGCCGCATCATAATATAATTTCAAATTTGGTGCTTTAAGTCCACCTCTTTCTCGAGCATCTTGTAAAATCTTAAACTTTACCCTTGATTTCTTCCCATCTTGTCTTGTATCTCTTGTTTAATATTACAAGAACTAAAATAAAAGAAGTCAGCAACCTTGTCTTGTACTTTTTTGAATCTCACATGGTTTGGTTAAATCTCCATTAATGATTAGTTGCGCTAAATAGAAATTAGTTGCACTCACTTTATAAAATTCTCTCAGAAATTCATATCTTCCAAGGCTCTAAACAAAAAAGACCAGTCCAGATTATCAAACGCCTTCTCTGCCTCAAAAAATAAAATAAAATAAAATAAAATAAATGTAGCTTGTTTTTCATTATGATTTTCCAAATATTCCAAAATATCTGATACAGTTCTAACATTATCTTTTAATTGTCTTTTAGGTAAAAACCTACATTGATCCTCATCAATAAATTCTTGCATAATTAATTTCAGTCTTTCAGCTACAATTGCTGTAAATAGCTTATAGTATAGTATAGTAATTTCTTACTCAAGTAAAATCTTATTCCACTTTAGATATTGATATTATATTAATCTCTTTCCATATCTCTGGCATCTTTCCTCCCTATAAAAAGAGAATTCATTGTAAAAGGGGGGCTATTGTTTTCTTCCTATTTTACTTCTTCCTTGTCCTCTCCTTTTTTTTCAAATAACAACCAGAAGCAAGTTCCTATGGGAAAGTTATCCTCAACTTCAGATACCCTGGCCACAAGCCATTTCAATTTCATATTTAATCAGAAGACTAAGGAGATTTAAGATGACTAATTAATAGATAACCCTGGGTTAGAGAAGAACTTATAGGAACAAGGCCATACATCTTTTAAAGCAAATTCACCTCTATGCCAGGTCATAAACTCTCATCTATGAGAAACATCAGGAATGGGAGGCAAACTGGAAGAATATACAGTAACTGGAAATTAAGAAGGAAAACAGGTCTTACATCCCATCTGTATTGAATGGGACTAGAATAAGGCAGTTAGAAATTTGATTGATTGATTGATTATGCACATTACGTTGGTGTCTACTCTTAGCAACCACATAAACAGGTTTTCTCCATGACAATCTGTCCCTTGTCCATGACAGTCTTTCAGATATTCCAACAGTATATTCAGTAGCAGTGAATGAGCCTATCTGCCTTGGTGCTGGTACTAGTTGTCTTCTTTCTTTCTCCCAAATGGGATAATTTGATCCTGGTCTTTGTGCCTTGAGTGAAA